GTAGCATGAATGAGTCGGCTCGACCGGGGAAGGATCAGTCTCACAAATACCAGCATGAAATACAAACTTAATGTTTCTGTGTTTCGTATGATGAGTGTAGAGAACTGGAGACCCCTTTTTAATGAAAACTAGCCATTCCATCTTAGTCCTCAGCAGTGACTACGCATCTGCATTATGATTCTTAATCGTGGATAGATTTAGATGTCTATGGGCCACATCATCGACTTACCATCAAGTGGACTGTGTGAAAACCATCCTATTGTTTACTAACTAGTTGACCGGGAGACATACTGATTTTTCCGTTAGGAACTTTTATTTTATTATTAATTACTTTTTATTAATTATTTTGGTCCTTCTCTATCGTTTTTATTACAAAAATATACAGCCAATTGACAGGAAATTACATTTTTATTACATTTATTTATAACTCGACAACGACTTTATTTATTAAGCGCTGGGCCTTTCGAGTCCGGATTTGGTGATAAATAATCTTTGTTAGTAGTATTCAAGTCATATTTACTACGTAATATAAGAGATGCACGTAACACGCATTAAGGCCTACGGACTCAAAGTGCCTTAGTCTATGCCTTAAAAAGGTACCCTGTGACTCCGACCACGCTCCCAGCACAACGCCACAGATTTTGCTCGCAGTAGCTGTTCTAGTACGTAATACATATTACTTTAGTGGTTGGCACTAAATCAACATATATTGTGAATATTTCTTTCTTTTCCTTTTTTTATTTTTAAAAAACGTTACCCCCTCACTAGGATTTTCTCCTGTGTCGTGGAGGCAGTTTACAAACACAAATTGCATAAGGACAAACATCCAGACCCGGAACAATTATTTGTAGGCCATACAAATACTTGTTCCGTGCGGGATTCGAACCCGCGACCCCCAGCGCAGCAACTTATTGCTAAGCCACTGTGCCACGAAGCCGTCAAATCATTTGTTACAAAATTAAAGAATCTGTTGCCATCCATCGGATCCCAGCATAGCTTGGAAAAATTGTCTCGATAAAACAAATACAATGTTGATATGAAAGAAGAAGAAGCATCAGTAGCCTATTGGCAGGGCGCGGACTGCGAACTCGAAAGGTCGTGGTTTCGAATCCGCCATTCGACTACTGTCGTGAACCACTTCTAACACAAGAATTTTAAGTTTACTAGAAGTCGTTAAGTAAAATTTAAAAAAAAAAAAATTATCTCTATCGACCAAGTTTTTCAGAAGCTACACGATCACTAACAGACGCACCAACGATTAGAAAGAAAAAGTTGATGATTATTAGATGTGTTAGCTTAAATCTAGGTACTTAAATTATACAGTACATCCAACCTCATTTTTATATGTCACATTGTTTATTTTAACATTAAATGCTAATTTACTACGTCCTCCACTTTGAAGAAAACATCCACAGAAAATTTACATACAAAACAAATAAGTTATTGATCAGTATCATTTCTAAATAACCCTCGATAAAACCCGGTCACTATTTATAAAACGTCAATGGAAATAATAATTGTTATTATATAGTTTTCTCACTTGGTAAAGGCACGATGCAGCTATATAATATGGTTGTAGCACGAATGGGTCAGCTCGACCGGGGAAGGACCACGCTCTCCCAGAATAAAAGCGTAAAATAGTAGCTTATAGCTGCTGTGTTTCGTATGGTGAGTTTAGAGAACCAGAGATCCTGATTACTGGAATTCCGTCGAATTACGAGGCATTCCATCTTAGTCCTCATGGTTGACAACGCATCTGCATTTCCATTCTTAATCGAGGATAGATGTAGATTGTAGATGTCTATGGGCTAAGGCACCCACTTACCATCAGATGGACCATGTACTCGTTATCTTTTTAATACTTCTATAAAAAAAGACCCTTCCCAATGACTAAGTTAGATACGTTCTTAATAAGAGAGTGAATAGGCTTTTGTTTACCATCTAGGCCTTCATAACCATCTAGGACTCCCCTTTAATATGGTCGACGAGGGCAATGGCTATCACATGCGTCGTATTTATGGCGGCTGGACTCGCTATGCACTGATGAGTTCCAAATTTTCGACCACTGAGGACTAAGATTGAATGCCTTGTTTCCAGTAAAAATGGTCTCTGGTTCTACACTCACCATTCGAAACACAGCAGCATTGAGCTACTATTTTACACTGATATTCTGTAAGAGCGTGGTCCTTCCCCGGTCGAGCCGATCCATTCGTGCTGCAACCATAATACGATTATAGCTGCAGCATGGCTCTACCACGTAAAAAACACTCAAGGTCTCTACAAAGCAGCCTCTTTATGCTGTTATTTTACGCTGGTGTTCTTTGAGAGTATGTTTCTTAACTGGTCAAGTTGCTGCATCTATAATACTGTTGTGGCTCTAACACTTGTAAAATGTACAGCTTACAAAACATCTTCCGCATTTGGTTGTTTATCCGTATGCAATTAATATATACAAAATGCATCTACTAAAAAAAAAGAAATGCAAAGTAATCACCAGTTATTTATGACCCCTAAACCACGCGACTGTCTCGTCATATAATTACCGGCCAATTTGGTTATGTTAATGAGCCATTATAATAGTTTCAACGAGACAGCCCGTAAAGGTTAAAATGTCTACAACCGGTCTGACTTCAACAGTCTCTAATTAATTTATACATTTTTTTTTAAATTTATACATGTATTAACGATTAATAATTTAACCCTGGCTTTGAACGTGACGAGGTGTTCTTGATTTTTGTTTTGAGAAGAGTGAAACTAGCACACAGTCAACTTTATAGTATAGCGGATGCTATGACCCACAAACATCGTCTATCCTCTTAATAATCAGAGTTATTGAAATCCCTAAGATGACAACGCACCTATTCCTAAGGATTATATATTGAAAACGCTTCGTTTTCTTTTACGAACCGTTTGCAGTGAATAAAGTCCATGAAAACTTCCTTTTTTCAAACAAAATCCTACCATTTATATAAAACTAGTTTTAGATTTTATCGCGTATATTAACTTATATTTTTTTTTAAATAGGGTGACAAACGTGCACACAGTCCACCTGATGGTAAGTGGTTGCTGTGGCCCATAGACAATCTAAATCCATCCTCGTTTGCGAATAAAATGCAGATGCGTTGTCAGCCTTGAGGACTAAGATGGAATGCCTCTTTTCCAGTAAAAAGGGTCTCCGGTTCTCTACACTCACCATACGAAACACAGCAGCATTAAGCTGCTATTTTACGCTGGTATTCTGTGAGAGCGTGGTCCTTCCCCAGTCGAGCCACAACCATAATATAGCTGCAGCATGGCTCTACCACGTATATTCCCGGCGTTTCGAGTTCTTTACAGAAATCATTATGAAAATCCAACCAGTTCCACTATTTTTAAAACATTGAAAGATTTTTCATTTTAAGTTATCCTAATATGCGGAATGAATGGTTTGTAATATGAACTGTATTTACATGTACCGTGTATGTAATAAAACGGATCGTTACGAAGAACGAGACGTTTCTTGAATATTATAGGAATGTGATGGAATGTTTCGATACCATTACAAAGTTTCCCCGTGTCACCCCCGTACTTTGAAAAGCACGTGAATTCGTTGGTCCTGCGTAGGATCTCTCCGGTCGTTTCTTTAAAAAAAAAACGAGAAAATTTATCAAAACCTCATTTGATTCTGCATTTCTTGTTTCCCGACTAATGTTCTATGTTATCTATTACTCTAATAATATACGACACTCACTTGTTTTTACTGGAGAGTAAATACAAATTAAAATAAAATGAGCGTTATTCTACCATTTCACGCTGGTATTCTATGAGAGCCTAGTCCTGCCGTGGTTTATTACAAGATTGTAAGACACATCCATAGCCCTCAAAGTCCTCAATACAACTCTTACTAAATATTAAGAGATTATAAGATGCACTTAGTTTTCGAGACAACACTACTAAAGACTTTTTTTAATTCGTTACTATAAAGTCGTGGTAGCTGGGGAGCTACGCACCGGTCTTAAATTTCATAGTATACAAGCAACCCAATTTTGATTCCCGCCAACACTTCTGAAGTTGTTAAAAGTGTCGGCGGTAAAGGCGGTAAAGTTAAAAATATTTCGACAGTCGATAGTCGATATATCGTATTTAATCCCTCAACGAACCCTGGAGCAGTACGGCGTAGATTTCCCGTGTGTAGAATTCAGGCATATTTTGTGTTCTATTGCTAGACCGGAACAATACCTAACATGTATAAATAGGATTTATTTATTGTATATATTAGTAAAATGTATATATAACGTAATTATTTATAAATGTCTATTTTGTTTTTATTCTATATTGCTACACCTACTTCAAATTCTCACCACTCCATGGGTTGACTGGTAGAGAATACCACAAGGCATTAAGTCCGCCCTTTGTATTCTTTTAGATTAAGGAATGCAATAAAGAATAAATAAAAAATAAAAATAAAATAATACCACGTTTTAAATTTGAATAGAGAATCACTTTTAAAAAGGCATTTTAATTTCTACAAAATAGTAGTACCTATATCAATTAATGGTTCAATATTTACGGGAATTTTTAAAAAGAAAATCTTACAAATATATGATTTCTTATATTTACGCGAACACTACACATTGAATAAAACTACTTTTACAGATTCTATCGCGTTCAATTAACTTATTTTTATTGATTCCCGACGTTCCGGGTGCTTTACAGCACCCACGGTCACGAGGAACTGAGGTGATTGACGTCCCGATGTCAGAGTTAACCCGTAGTGCCTTCAGCTTTTCGCGGAATTTAAACGCGATAGAATCCGTAAAAGTAGTTTCATTCAATCTTACACATTTATTTATAGAATAAACGAAAATAATTACTGTAATTTCCTAAATAAGCCTTCAAAAACATCACATTTAAAAAGTTGAAATAACCCAATAATATTTTAAAATATTTTAATTGGCATAAATATAATAACTCCTGCGTTGTTATAATACAGAAAATAATACATGAATCTTAGTACTCACCGCTGCAAGCAGAGTCACGAATCGAAGCATGTTTAACGTCTCTGTGTCAAAGTGTCACTCTAGTATACTCTCACAAAGATAATAACTTAGTCGACTGATGCGCCGGCGCCTCTATATACAACCTCAGCCTCCGGTGACGTCACGCCCCCCCCCCCCCCCGCCCCCCACAAACCCGTTTTGAGGCTCATCTTCACGACTCCTGACCTCCGTTAGTGTTACAACGACGCATTTATGTGTTGCCCGTTGAAAAAACAGCTCAGACTCTTCAATGTACACAAATCTATAATTAGTTGGTATTTGTTTTTGCCATTGTCAAAACCACTACTGTTTGTATACGAGTCGCTGTGTCTGTATTAGTTGTAGTGGAATTAGCGGAAATTATTTCTCACTCATTCTTTACGTTTCTGTCACTTTTAGTTTCTTTAAACGAGGCGAGACTGAATTAATATTTGATGTTAATACCCCATATCGTCGAGTGGGTGTCGTAAGAGGCGACAGACAGAGGGATACTGATACAGGACATGGGCAGCAGCTTCTTCCTAAAACAAACTCTAAATAATAAACAAAATTGTGGTTGCCAACCCACTTTGAGGCAATCTATGAAGGAGGCCCATGTTCAGCAGTGGACTATTATAGACTGTGATGATGATGAATATTCTATAAAAAAAAGAGCTTTAATTTTATTACGCTAAGGCAGTGGGATCAGAGCAGAGACGAATAGTAAGAGCAGCAGATGGCTCCCTGGTTATAATCCTCCGCGGCACAATGTCCTTGAGAAATTTATGTATTTGAACTTCTCTCACGATATAGGAGAAAATCCTAATGTAGGTTAACGTTTATATATATATTTATGATTTACAATGTAGGGCTCCATCACTACTTGTAGCACGAATGGATCGACTCGACCGGGGAAGGCCACGCTCTCACAGAATAAAATAGCCAAATTACCACCAGCGTAAAATTGCAGCTTAATGCTGCTGTGTATCGTTTGGTGCGTATAGAGAACCGGAGACCCTTTTTACTGGAAAAGAATCATTCCCTCTTAGTCCTCACGGCTGACAACACATTTCTGCATTTTATTCGCATACGAGGATAGATGTAGATGTTTATGGGCTACAGCAAACACCTACCATCAGGTGGACTGTATGCTCTTTTGTCACCCTTATCCTATAAAAGAAAATCTTTATAAAAAGAAATTTCATACAACTTTCCATAAATAATACAAGTGATAAAATTAAAAATTTTGTACAACCAACTTCAATATAAAATTATTAAAAATAACTCAAAAACCACTGGGCAGACCTTGATCAAATTGGACCACATGAGAAGCACCAGCTTTCAAATAAAAAAGTATCATTAAAATCGGTTTTACGTAGAAAAAAGTTATGACAATAATATAACACACATAAAAAAAATACAGTCGATTTGACGTCCTTTTTTTTGAAATCGGTTAAAAAATAACTGAAGATACTAATGAGTAGAAACTTCGTAAACTTGACCGACGAGTCGGTTTTATAAATTTCATTCCATTCAATTGTTTACGGGCCTTAGCGTTGCGGACCTGGACTCGATCACCTTCGGTTTTTTTAAACCTCAATGTATAGGGTTGACATTTCACCAGAATTTCAGGTTTCTTCCTGAAACTACACTTAAAAATCCCCTAGATTGAATTAAAAGGATTTTATAGTGTTTATTCTAACTTATTAAGTGGCGAAGCTTGCGAAGTCACTTATTGATTTCACGATGTCTGTCCGTCTGTCCGTCTGTCCCACGATTATCTCGAGAACGGTTTCGAATTTTCAAATTCTGTTTTCAGCAATCGATTACTGATCACCCAGGCATCTGAACCTCCTATTTTGAAACTGATTGCTCAACGGCAATCGTTAGAAACCGCTACAAAGCTGATTGCTTCGCCACTTTGCTATGCTGTTAGCTTGCTAAGTTTATTTAACTTAGTTTAATTGCCGAAGTTTCCCCAACCAACCTGCCAGATCATAAGCACATTAAAATCATGGTTTAATGTCTTGGATAGTTCAATCAAAAGCATCAAGGCAAACAATTAATTTACCATAACTTTTTAAAACAGCCTTTTATTGAAAACTGTTTAATGTATGTAATGCAAATAATATATAAAGATTATTTTCTATTTATTTCACAAGGATTGTTTTTCAATTTAGTACTTTGTAAAACATAATTTTAAATTAATTCTTTTAGTAGTAATAGCATCTACTAAAATAATAATCTGGAGGAAAATAAAACAGTATATGTGCGTTAGTATCTTTTTTTATAGAATAATTGTGACAAACGAGCATACAGTCCACCTGATTGTAAGTGACTACTGTGGTCCATAGACATTTACATTAATATTCAATTAAGAATCAAAACGCAGATGTGTTGTCAACCCTAAGGACTAACATAGTATGCTTCGTTTCCAGTAAAACGGGTCTCCGGTTCTCTACACTCATCATACGAAACCTGTACCCGGTAGAATAGAATAGAATAACTAACTTCCAAAGAGCCTGTTGCAGCTATATTGTGGTTGTAGCACGAATGGGTCGGCTCAAACGGGGTAGGACCGCGATCTCACAGAATACCAGCGTAAAATAGCTACTCAATACTGCTGTTGTGAGTGTAAAGAACCGGAGATCCTTTTTGCTGGAAACGAGGCATGCAACGAGGATAGATGTAAATGTTTATAAGAACAGTCGCCACTTACCATCAGGTGAACTTTGTGCTCGTTTGTCAAAAAAATAAAAATAAACTACTCCATAATGTCTGATTTCGTCAGGCAACAGCCCTGTATGTACATATGTCATTAAATAGTCGATAGCTTACGCATCCTCGTATGACACCCGGATTACAACTTCGGGTGACTAATTTTCCTGAGAACGGAGCGCAACTTACGTTGCACTTGTTGCGTGTACAGTGCATCACGCTTTTCGTGTTGCGAAAGCTCTGTCGGTGTTTAAACGCCGATGCAAATTTCACACGTGAGTTTAACTTTGCTGTGTCACTTTTTCCTATTCATTCTTTCTACCTGTCCAAACCACCAAAGCATTTTTTTTTATAAATGTTACTAATTAAGGATGCATTTATTAATTTTATATTTTGTATGCCTACTGGCGGGACATAGAGAAACTACCTTATATTTATTATGTACATCGAGATCTGTAAACTAACCTATGTTCACAAAATAAACAGATTTCATTTGATTTGATTTGATTCCTATCATAATCCTAGTCGCAACATCTATAATCATCATCGCGTCAGCTCTAACACACTTGTTATTGGCTGCATTTTCTACAGCATTTATTACCCGACTGTCTTACGAGTAGAAGGCGGATAATGTTTTCGTTTACCTTCGAATGTTGTTATACATAAAAATTGTAAATGACAAACAAACTTACAGTCTATTTGATTGTCAGTAGGTACTGCAGTCCATGAACAACTGCAACCAACTTCAAAACGAAGAAAACCCTTGATGCGTTGATAATTCTGAGGACTAAGATCCTGCCATCATACTAACTCTCTGTACCATTCCGAATGTAACAAAGCAGTGCACGCACTACTGTTTGGCAGAAATCTGTAAAACGTTGGCCTTACGGACCTTCAAGAAAAGAGCCTACTCCTTTTTAAAAGGCCGGCAACGCATCTGCAATTCCCGTGGTGTTGCAGTTGTTCATGGGCGGCGGTAGTCACTTACCATCAGATGAGCCGCATGCTCGTTTGCCCCCTCTCCTATAAAAAAACCTACCTACTTAATACGACTAGGGACCTTCAAGAAAAGAGATTACTCCTTTCTAAAAAGCCGGCAACGCACCTACGATTCACCTGGTGTTGCAGTTGTTCATGGGAGGCGGTAGTCACTTGCTATCCGGTGAGCCGTATGCTCGTTTGCCCACTCTACTATAAAAAAACCTACTCAGACAGACCCCTAAGCTCAAACGGGACCTACCACCTATTTATTTTATTTCTTACTATTTTTTTGTTATAGAATAAGCGCGACAAACGAGCATACAGTCCAGCTGATGGTAAGTTGATACTGTGGCCCATAGACATCTACATTTATCATCGATTTGCACATGAGTTCTCACCCCTGAGGACTAAGGTGGAATGCCTCGTATCCAGTAAAAAGGGTCAGTCAAAGTACTGAAGTAGTCAAAGTACTAGGTCGAGAAGTCCAGGTAGTTATCAATGATAACTTAAATATGCAAACACGAAGGAACTTATATCTGTATTAATCACATTTCTTAATGACATAAGATTTTTTACGTGGTAGAGCCATGCTGCAGCTATATTAGTAGTATAGTTGTAGCACGAACGGGTCGGCTCGACCGGGGTAGGACCACGCTCTAACAGAATAACAGCGTAAAATAGCAATTTAACACTGCTGTGTTTCGTATGGTGAGTGTAGAGAACCGGAGACCCTTTTTACTGGAAAAGAGGATTTCCATCTTAGTCCTCACGGGTGACGACGCAACTGCATTTTGATTCGCAAACGAGGATAGATGTAGATGTCTATGGGCCGCAGCAACTACTTACCATCAGGTGGAATATGTGCTCGTTTGTCACCATATCCTATAAAAAAAATAAGAATAATGACAGGCTTAGATGCAATACAACAGGGTCCCGGAAAGTGTACAGGTTCTCTCTATTACCATGTTGAAATGTTTTATTAAGCTGAAACTGTATAAAAAGAGTTATTATAGTATAAATGAATACATGGTTGATAATAACCCCTGGGAATGAGGTGGTCGCTTCCAAACAGTTTCTAAAATAAATTTTGTAAATAATTCGTAAAATTGTAGAGAACCGGAGACCCTTTTACTGGAAAAGAGGCATTCGATCTTATTCCTCACGGGTGACAACGCATCTGCATTTTGATTCGCAAACGAGGATAGATGTAGATGTCTATGGGCCACAGCAACCATTTACCAACAGATGAACTGTGTGCTCGTTTGTCACCCGTATTCTAAACAAAAAAAGACTGATGGAATCTCTTACGCCATTATCATACAACCATAAAAAAGATATATTTGTATAATGTACACAAACGTTGGCTCACGCTGGGGCTCAAGTACTCTGATT